AAATGGAGTCTGTTTGGTTATTGCCCATATAGCCTGGCCCATGATAAATGAAACAAGAAAAGCAATTCAAATACCTATTTGAATGCCAAGGACTTGAAGAATGTCTCTGTGGTAGGGAAAAACTGGGTATGAAGGAGAGAGTTGCCAGAGCAATATGATAGAGTGAGCTGGAAAGAAATATGGTCTAGTATTTACGTGAAAGGTTTGGTTTATTCAGGGTACAATGTCACCCCATCCATTGTATCAGGAGGGGAACTAGAGGACACAAGAATACCAACGTAGGTGAGTATTTGAATGGAGTGGGCTTGTGGATACCTCCCAATTGCTTCCTCTTCTTTCAGTGAAATAGGAAGTGTAGTCATTACCTGTGAGTGCGAAGGAAACATTGGATCCTTTCTTTCATGTTTGCATCACTGCGATTATTGTGATTGAAAATCAATGAAAGCTCATCAAGGTCAAAATGTACTTTCTTCTCCACGGAGACAATGAAATTTTGGTCTTTAAAAAAATAGAAAACTTCTTGCTTCCTTGTAGCCTCAGTTGGGAAGTGAGTCAGAATCAATAACTGAAGAAGGGAAGGACAGAATACAAATCTGTGGAGTGTGGGGGATTGATTTTGCCACCTGGGCATGTTACTCACTTCCTTCACCTGCTCAGCAGCTGGTTATTTCTATGACACGTTGCCTTTTTCATAAAGGTCTCAAGTTCTTTCTTTTGTTTTGGCTCATGATTTACTCTTTCTAAAATTCAGATGAGACAGAAAACAGTTAAAATGAAAAAAAATCCTGTGTTTTGTTTTGGTTTGTTTGTAAGTTGGAATGAATTTGAAGCAGTATGGAATTTTCATTTTAGATGAAACACGTAATAAATGAGTCTTGTCATTAAATGGAATCACCCTAAGAAGATGGATTGCTAATTGTTTCAAAGATTTTTTGGTCAATTAATTTCAGTTTTTAAATATTAACAATCTGTGTTTTTCAAATTCAGGGATGGTATAAATGCTGAAGAGTAATTCGAATGTACTGGTCTGTAAATATATTTATTGTATGACCTTGCTATATATTTAGAAATGAACAGAAATGTAGTGGAGTAAGTTAATCTGTGGTATATAATATTTTATATCACATAGAAATGAGAAACTAAGAATAATACAAAATTGTAAAAAGCTGGGTTATAAAACTAAAACAATTCAGACATAGCAAAGACTGTTCTTTTTGATAAAATTCAAAAGTTTATGGACACAGAAATTTGGATTTAATATCATAGTCACATAAACATAAAATGTTATTTTTCTACTTTTTGAAAAAGACTTTTCAAAAACTATTTAGTAATATGAAAACCACTCATTCACGGCTGTACAAGATTTCAGATTTGGCCCATGGGTGGCAGTGGGCACACGGCAGCCTCGCCTTTAGCCATATATCCCACCAGTGTTGTGTTTACCATAGCCTTGAGGAAGCTGTACTTCTAAATTATCTGTTTGTCCCTTGCCTTTACTACATTTAAATCTCCTAGAGGGAAGTAATCATAATGTACATATCATTTGCAGAAAGCAGAGTGCCTGTCTTAATAAACTTGTTCAATAGAAAAGTAAAGAATGGCTATATTTGAAGTATAGATTGCCATCTTTATGACTCCTCCAATTTATTTGATGTTTCTTTTTAATTTTTTTTAAGAATTCTGTTTCTTTTATGTATTAGTTTATAACTTACAAGTATCTATAGGCAAGAATTTATTTTCTTTCTTTCTTTTCTTTTCCTCCTTGTACTCATCCCATCAGCCACACTAACAGCAAAAAAAAAAAAAAAAAAAAAAAAAAAGCTGGTTTTTATTGTGGGCATGAGGTTTGTTAATCTTTCATCATTTGTTAGTGAAGAAGAAGAGGAAATAGGTATTCACTTTCTACCATACATGGGATTTCAATTTGAGGTTGTTCTTATTCTTGAGAAATTTCTACCACCAATTATAATGTTCCAATAAACTTACCATACTCCATCTGTTTTGATTAAACCATTGTATTTTCTTAAGTTTTTATTGTTGAAAAATAATTTTTGGCTTATCCAAAAGTAACAAAAATGGTGGAGTTTCTGCCCACACTTTAATCATCTTCCTCTACTGTTAGCATCTTACACACACACACATACACATACACACACACACACAAATTCCACTAACAGTGTAGAAGCATTTCTTTTTCCCGAATCCTCTCTATGATTTATTATTGTTTGTATTCTTGATGGCTGCCATTCTAACTGGACTCAGATGAAATTTCAGTGAAATATTGATTTGAATTTCTGTGATTGCTAGAGATGGTAGACACGTTTTCAAATAATTTGTTAGCCATTTGTATTTCCTCTTTCAAGAAGTGTCTTAGTTCATTTGCCCATTTATTATTTGGATTATTTGGTTTTCTGGTGTTAAGATTTTGAGCTTTTCTTTAATGTTCTGGATATTAATCCTGTCAGAGTAGTTAGCAAGATTTTCTTTATTCTGTAACTTTTCTTTTCTTATTCTCAAATGTTTTCTTTGCTGTGCAGGAGCTCTTAAATTTGATTCCATCTCATTTGTTAATTCTTGGTATTATTTCCTGAGCTTAGGAATCCTATTGTGGAAGTCATTACCTGCACCTTCATATTGAAGTATTGATTTTACATTTTCTTCAAAGCATTGCAAAATTTCTGGTCTAATTCTTACATATTTGATCTATTTTAAGTTGACTTTTGTTCAGGGTAAGAGAGAGGGATCTGGTCTTATTATTCTTCTTGTGTATATCCAGTTTTCCTGGCACCATGTGTTAAAAAGGCAGTCTTTTCTCCAATGTATTTTTGGCACCTTCATCAAGGATCAGATGACTGCATCTGTGTGTGCTTTTCCCTGTGTTTTCTGTGCTGAAAGACTGCTCTTTTAGAGCATTGCTTTGGATAAGTGCCAGCTATGTGAGACAATATGTCGGACTTCATGGAAACTATAGTTAAGGATGAGTTGTATTTTAACATTTTTCCTTTTTCTTTTGAGCTTGGCAATGCTCTTTGTTTTGGGAAAAATATTCCAGAGTAAGAATTCATGTTAAAGTCTGTTCCTGTTCCTAGACCACAGTAGTATTGAGTGATAGATAAGAAGGATTGGAGCCATTGAATCCCTTCTTTGGGAATACTGTACTGGAGATCAAATACCTCATAAAAGCCAATCATAACAAGATCTAGTAAGAAACCTGAGATTTTTGCTTTGTTTAAAGAGAAGAATGTGAAGAGACCTTTCCTGCCTCATATTAATCAATATTAAAATGTATAAAATTAAAATAATTAAAACACTGTGATACTAATCTTAGAGCCACAGAAACAATAAAACTCTAACTAAAGCATATACACTGTGATCATCACAGATATGGTAAGATGAATGATACTCTTGAAATATTTAAGTATATGAGAGAAAATGTGAGATCCCTCTCACATAAATACATTTCATATGTGCTTATGACTTTAATATAATAACACAGAGAGTAGGCTAAAAGGATATGATGATATATTTTGGAGAAAATGTTCTTTTAAAGCATTGTTAGAAACTATAAGGAAAAATTCAGTGTTCTTAGTTTTTAAAACAATATAAATAAAAGAGGAAATGCAACAAAAATCTAGATGGATAGCAATAGTTTTTCCTCTCTGGATTATGGAATTACTTTTTTATTTTTGTATTATTAATTTTATCTATTTTTTATCATTAATATATTTCATTTGGTGAAAATAAAAATTCATTTAAATTATTATTAGAGAAAAAGACTAATAAAATTTATTGATGATTTAACATATGAAAAATAATGATCTTTCTACAAAATGATTACCTGTTGCTTCATATTTAAGTTGTTTTCAGTCATATTCTTTTACAACTTAATTTGCTATAAATTTCAACTATAATCCACAAAAATTTTCTACTGCTGATACATTTTACTATAGAATCTATACTTAAAATACCTATTAAAATTAATAAATGAAATAAAATACCTAATAACATCTAGCAACATCCACAGAATTTCATTTGTAAATTTCATTGCCCAGAGCCTTAAATAATTCTAATAAACCTGTGTCTATTGATCAGCTTAAATTTACTTGGAGTTAAGGGTCATTTAAAAGAAGTGATTAGCTGGGCACAGTGGTGAGCACCTGTAATCCCAGGAGCTTCGAAGGCTGAGGCAGGAGGATTGAGAGTTCCAAGCCAGTCTCAGCAATTCATCTAGACCCTGTCATATATATATATATATATATATATATATATATATATATATATATATATATATATATATATATAATGGGGATATGGCTGGGAATATGGCTCAGTGGTTAGGCATCCCTGAGTTCAATCTCTGATGCCAAAAAAATGTGGTATCATTTTACTATTGATCCTTTCAAATTATGGTCACAGGAAGGTCTATCTCACTTTCTCATGCACAATAAGTATTTACTGAATAGACTCTCTGTCAACATGATGGAGTCATATCTGTCTACAGAACCTATACTATTATTGGACTGATCTTTCAAGATTTTTTCTTTTTAACAACTTTTTTCAAGAATTTTTTTCTTTAGATTTCAATACTACAGCAATCAATAAATCAGTTAACATTACTATCTAATGTAAGCAAATTAATAGTAAGTTAATAAGTATTAGGAGCATAAGACAATAAGATATGAATATTTCTGCTACTCCACTAAATCCAGGCAGGATTGCATTCTCCTGACTTGAATGTTCAAGTATCATTGGGAACTTTATACATCAGTTCACTTTTGGTCAAAATCTACCCTCATATGCATATTAACTCTATTTCTTTTTCTCATTTGTTAGAGAAAAAAATCAAGGTTTTAATAAGATTTGAGTTCATATATTTAAAAGATGATGATTTAAACACTATGCTATTCTCTTATGCCCATATATTCTAATGGAGACTTTTAATCATCTTTATTCTGAAAAAACAATAAAACTTCTTTTAAAAAAACATTGTAGGCCTCCCACCGACTCCCGGCTGTGCCGGAGTCGGGTGGGTCGGCGGCTATAAAGCTGGTAGCGGAGGGGAGGCGCCGCGTACGGTCTTTCGCGGCTTGGTCTTTTCCTGTGGTCACTACCCGGTCACATTTGGTGCCCAGCAGAGGAAACAGTGACAGACCTGGAGGCTGCAGTTCTCTGTCCTTCACACAGCTCTTTCACCATGCCTGGGTCACTTCCTTTGCATGCAAAAGCTTGTTGGCCAAAAGATGTGGGAATTGTTGCCCTTGAGATCTATTTTCCTTCTCAATATGTTGATCAAGCAGAGTTGGAAAAATATGATGGTGTAGATGCTGGAAAGTATACCATTGGCTTGGGCCAGGCCAGGATGGGCTTCTGCACAGATGGAGAAGATATCAACTCTCTTTGCCTAACTGTGGTTCAGAATCTAATGGAGAGAAATAACCTTTCTTATGATTGCATTGGACGGTTAGAAGTTGGAACAGAGACAATCATTGACAAATCAAAGTCAGTGAAGACTAATTTGATGCAGCTATTTGAGGAGTCTAGGAATACAGGTATAGAAGGAATAGATACAACTAATGCGTGCTATGGAGGCACACCTGCTGTCTTCAATGCTGTTAACTGGATTGAGTCCAGCTCTTGGGATGGAAATGCCAGACCTACAGGTGGAGTTGGAGCTGTGGCTTTGCTGATTGGGCCAAATGCTCCTTTAATTTTTGACCGAGGGCTTCGTGGAACACATATGCAACATGCCTATGATTTTTACAAGCCCGATATGGTCTCCGAATATCCTATAGTCGATGGAAAACTCTCCATACAATGCTACCTCAGTGCATTATACCGCTGTTATTCTGTCTACCACAAAAAGATCCGTGCCCAGTGGCAGAAAGAGGGAAATGATAAAGATTTTACCTTAAATGATTTTGGCTTCATGATCTTTCACTCACCATATTGTAAACTGGTTCAGAAATCTCTAGCTCGGATGATGCTGAATGACTTCCTTAATGACCAGAACAGAGATAAAAATACTATCTACAGTGGCCTGGAAGCTTTCGGGGATGTTAAATTAGAAGATACTTACTTTGACAGAGATGTGGAAAAGGCATTTATGAAGGCTAGTTCTGAACTCTTTAATCAGAAAACAAAGGCATCTTTGCTGGTATCAAATCAAAATGGAAATATGTATACATCCTCAGTATATGGTTCCCTTGCTTCTGTTCTAGCCCAGTACTCTCCTCAGCAATTGGCAGGGAAGAGGATAGGAGTGTTCTCTTATGGTTCTGGTTTGGCTGCCACCTTGTACTCTCTTAAAGTTACACAAGATGCCACACCAGGGTCTGCTCTTGATAAAATAACAGCAAGTTTATGTGATCTTAAATCAAGGCTTGACTCAAGAACTTGTGTAGCACCAGATGTCTTTGCTGAAAACATGAAGCTCAGAGAGGACACTCATCACTTGGCCAACTATATACCTCAGTGTTCAATAGATTCACTCTTTGAAGGAACATGGTACCTAGTTAGAGTGGATGAAAAGCATAGAAGAACGTACGCTCGTCGCCCCTCTCCAAATGATGACACTTTGGGTGAAGGAGTAGGACTTGTGCATTCAAATACAGCAACTGAGCATATTCCAAGCCCTGCTAAGAAAGTGCCAAGGCTCCCTGCATCAGCAGCAGAACCCGAAGTAGCTGTCATTAGTAATGGGGAACATTAAGATACTCCGTGAACTGCGAGACTTCACAGTGTGTTTGGGTTGGGGTGGGGATAGGGGAATGGTTGGAGGAAGGGAATGTCTGGGGACAATTTTAAAGAATTACACATTGCTTAAATTTTTATGTGACTGACACAGAGCCTAGCAAACTGTTGTGCTCTTGGACAAGTCTATCTGCCCAATTTGCTAACATGCTTCCTGTTGTGGTCTAGCCAATGCTAAATGTACTCGAATGATGTTAAGGGCTCTGTAAACTTTATATCTCTCTGGCCATTTATATGCATGAAATTTAGTTTTTAAATGTAGTGTGAATCCTGTGCTTCTGTTAGAGGAAAGCAGAGGTACTAGTCTCCAATTTAATTTTTTTTTTAATGTGTAAGAATTTTATACTTTGAACAACAAGATTATTGAAAGTACCTGTGGTTTTTGAAAATTTTTTCTAGCTTGGGGAATGTGGTCTTAAAATGTGATATGCACAAATACTCTTTGAAAATGGCAAGACAAATATTATTTTTCTCAGATTTATAAATCCTAGAGAGGCAGAAAAGAGTTAGGACAGTAACACTGGTTCTGGAATATTATCCAGACCAACAGTGACAAAGTTATTGTGATGATCTCTGAACAGAGAGACACTAGCATTGAGCAGGCTTATGGCATAAAAAGCATGGTCTGTTTGGGAGCCGTCATGATAGCTGCAGGAGCTGAGTGCTCCTGATCAGTTCATGGTGGACTGTGCTCAGCAACATCGAGATGTTATTGGAGGTGTATATGAGGAAGCTTTTTGTTGCAATCCTTCTTTGCACCTTATTTTAAAAGATACATAAAACATTTCTTTGATGCCTTTTTAAAATTTTAAATTGGAAAGGAAGGATGGAGCAGGGCATTATTAGGCTACTTATGTTTCAGTGTTACAAATTCAATTTCTAGACTGACAGATTTGTGGTATGAGTTCTTTTTGTTTTGTGTATGTGTTTGTGTGGGTCTTTGTTTTTGTATCTGTTCGATGAAAATAAGAAGGTACAACCTAAGTTTTTACATAGTCTGACTAGCCAAAAAGAGTATTCCACTGCAAGGTCTGGAAGTAGGGTTTATAAAGCCTTTTCTTGGACATTCACCTTTAAAAAACAACAAAAAACTATCACATGGAATGAAAGAGATTGGTTAGAAAGTTTTATAGATGTTTTTGGTGCTGAACTATGACATGAGCCTTATAGATTGTAAAATAGAGATAGTTGGAACTAATGTACAGAACTAAATTTTTAAAACTTTATTTACCATTAAATTCTGTGAAGTTTCAGTTATTGAAAATAAACAAATACAAAATGTAATGTTTCAGATTGCAAGCTAATATGTAATGTAGTGTTTGTAAGATACTCTTGTCTAATATTATTAACTAGTGGTATTTTGATTCGTACAGTCATAATTTGTTAAAATGACTTCATTTTAACATCAAAAAAAACAACATTGTAATATTGTTAAGATTTCAGGATTTGGGGTGAATGAATATAAAAAGAATTTAGATTGCATCCTCTTTGATTTAAAAAAAAATTATATTAAGCAAAATTTTCAGCCTGTGCTGTCCAAAAGTATTGTTATGGGATTGACATTTCAAAGTGAACCTTCTCCAAGACAGCACTGTTTTTTCTTACAAGCATACTTTTCTTTTTCCTGAGGAGAATTCTAAGTAGTATCTTCTATCCTAACTTGATTGTATCCAGAGTTTTCCTCCTACCATCCGTGTATACAGTCTCTGTAACTGTCTGCACTCTTGAGCAGAAAATGCCATTTGTTTTGTGTTCCCTCAGGCTTTCATTTAGTCATAGATGCTGAGGATAGTGATCTTGAATTAGTTTCGTTATGACTAAGCATTGCTACAATACCATGCTTCTTTATACATATTTATATTATATATTTTTATAAAACTTTTGTTACATAATACATAGTTTAAGATATTTTATCTTGCTATTATATTTTATATAACATATAGTTACATACATTTTATGTAATACATTAATTGCATAATTATATATATTATGCAATATATTTATATTATAAAAATATAAAATTTCATAAACTATGTAAAGTACACATATGTGCATATTTATAGATAATACAAATGTTTGGCTTCAGAAAATAGAAAATATTTCCAATGTAAGACCTGGAAATGAAAAAACAAAGTTAACATATTGTAAAAGCAGAGTTTATTAAAATTTCGTTTCATCGTTTGAATGCAAGTAACAGAAAATATGTCTAAGTTGTTTTATTACTTGAAGGTTATTTTTCACATATTACGTAAATGTCAGGGAGTGCAGCAGCTCAATAAATATACATATATAAGAAAACTATGAATAGAGCTGAACTGTTCACTTCAGCCTTGATACCGATGTATACTTCTTATGTACCAGTTGATCTTACATTTGGCTAACCTGGATTTATGTGAGAACAAAACTTGCACTTTTGCTAGGGACTATAGAACTAAAAGAAAGCTATTTTATACATAAAATTTATATGTATCAATAGCTATAAGAATTAAGGTAAATAGTACACTCTGTCATTTTTTAGCATTTCCATTTGTTGGAACACTCCTAAAAATGTCTCCCCTCAAAAAGTAAAGAGGTATGCTTATTAGACACCACAGGCAGAAGAGGATGTAGTGTGCCAAATATCTGTTCCTGAACACAGGTGTCATGTGCTTGTATTCACTGTGATGGAGGCAGCTGGTGATGAACCACTATAGTGTATTTCTGTGTACCTGAGCTAGTACTAGAAATCCAAAGTGTGAATTAGGTGGAGGATATAATGCAGGAAGAAGTTCCTGCTTTCCAGTTCCCCATCCTGCTTCCAATTATCTTTCCCTCCTTATAGCATATGGCCTGTACCACTTTTGACCAGCTCCCCAAGAAGCAGTATGTTGTATTTCTCTGCTTTATTCCTCCTCAGGCACATACATTATAAAGAGGATTCTATTATTAGCTCTTCTATTGATCTTGCTTATGGCACAATGTTTAATAACACCATTCTAGTCACATCAGCCAATGCTTTCTCATCAGGGTACCTGCAGCTCATAAATAAACAACACTGTCTGTCTTTCCTCACATCTTATGAAGCAAAAATCACAAAGAAAATTTAGAAATTCTTCATGAATCCTTAAGCAATGATTTTTTAAAAAAATTTAGTATTGACATTATTGTGAAAATTCAGTGGTTTGTGTTTTACTTCATATTTATCTTTATACTTATTTTTTTCTTATTCTTCAATATAAGCAAATTAAAATTACTTTTAATTGTAATTAAATTGTGTATATATATATATATATATATATATATATATATATATACATATACTACTTTTTCTTTTATTTGTGCCTCAAATGTGAACAGTAAATGATTTGATCTTACAAAGTTTCAGCCAGCTCAGTATGAAGGTACATTCTTGTGATCCCATAATTCAGGAGGATCACGAGTTTGAGGACAGCCTCAACAACTTAAGGAGAACTGTCACAAAATAAAAAGAAAGAAAGAAAGAAAATTAAAAAGTGTGGTATGTAGCTCATTAGTAAAGCAGTTTTGGGTTTAATCCCCAGTACAAATATGTATGTGTGTGTGCATGTATGTACATTTATATATAGTCAATATTAAGAAAATAGGGTGAGTAATAAAACTGTCACCTGGGGTTAGCTGGAATAAAGTGCCCTTTAGTGTTCATGATTTTATGTCCTAATTGTTCCTACCAAACAATAGTAAAGAATACATGAAGAATTCAAGGACTATAGGTAGAAAGAAGATGCTTTTAATAGTAATCCATGACTTAACAGAAAATAATAAGATTAATAAATTTTCAGATATTTACTTACAATCTTCAAGTTACTATAAACCTCTCATCATTTTAATATTTTGTGACTTTCATAATTTAAAATAATTAAACTTCTCTTCTTAGAAGAAATAATACTTAATTCAACATTTTCTTGTAAATAGGTTTTCTTGTTCTTATGTCTGAGTTTTCTTTAAAGGAAATTTTCAGAAATAGAGAGATTTAAATCATATAAACTTTTAAAAATCCTTTATGTACATTGCTGTTCATAAGGAACCACCTCTGGGGATAAACATGATTTCACTGAACCTTCTTTAATCTTGAACTCACCATTTTTAACAGGCATTCTGTATTTTTAATCAAGTGAATCAAGCAATGGTTTAATAGTAAATGTCTTCAGTTGCATATTATAACTTACTAGATATCTCACAATTACAAGTTTTCTTCCTCAAGGCCCTTGTTAAAAGTCAGTTAATCCACATCCACATGCCAGTTGGCTGTCACCTAAGAAGATATTTCTCCATCATTTTATGGTTATAGTTTTCTTTGAGAATATGATGAATGGTATGAACATTTCCTCAAATAATGGACCCATTTGCAGAAATATACAATATGTACACACACAGATTGTAGAAAATTTCAGAAAATTCATGGATTACCTTATGTCTCTCCAGTTTAACAACATTAACCGAAGATGGTAGACTATGAGTAAGTTAAAGCAAGTATAAAAGGAAAAGTTTATAGCTCTGAGGTGTCTAGAGAAGATGAGACCCTTAAATTCAGCTGTGGCGATACCAAAGGCTAGTCAGTCCAAGGATTCTCCCGGATTGCCTAGTGGAGATCAGAAGAACTAGAGGGGGAGCAGGAGTCCCTGAAAATAAGCACAATTTCTTAAATTTAGTCTTACTCTTGATGTAGGGCCAGAGGAAATTGATGTAATCTATTCTGTTTTCTATTTTTTCTTGATTCTCCAGTTTCAGTCACGACAGATGTTTGAATATAGAACTATATTTAAACTTGCAGTGTCCATTTTGCATCATCTTTGGGAAGAAAACTGACATCTGCAACATCCCTTTACACAGTCCCAGTCTTCCACGCAGAAGCGCTTATTTGGTAGAAGCCCTTACATAATTATATCTACATTAATGACTTATTTATCCCAATGAGAGGGTAATGAATTCAGGATTTCCTACTCACATATTTTCTTCCTACAATTTTTTAAAAATTTGCAAATCTTTTGGAATGTTCTAAATATCTATTCAAAATCATTTCCAAGTTCAAAGAAATAAAGTATTTGTTAGTGAATCATTCCAATTATCTGAGAGAATCTCAGTCTGCCATTTAGTTTAATAGCAAATGAAGCCACTGAATGAAATAATTGCCTAAATGTGGGAACAAAAGAAACAATATTTATATTTCTGTTATAATTACCAACTTATGTTTAAAATCATGTTTTTAAACAGAAATTTATAGAATTAAATGAATTTATAGTTTTCTATTTTTGGTTAAGCCAAGGTATTAACAAGTTGGTTGGTAGCTTGCTGTAGTGAAATTATTTATCTTGTCTATATCTCATTTCTAGAATTGTTAGGGAAAAAAACAGAGG